GCATTGGATCAAAACAAGTGGGTTTATTCACCAGTAGGTGGAGCCTGTTGATGCTAATCCAACTATAGGCTCACACCTGCTGTCACCGAGGGTCGTGCTATGGCCTCCCGCCAAGCAGGCATCGGACAGAATACATGACCGCCAGATTCCTTTAACGGAATACCCCTAAAAATTGAAGGCATAGGCGATGGCCACACCTAGCACTTCGACACACAACACATTATTCCAATGCCTAACCACCACCCGAGCCAAAGTCTCTCTCCCTCTAGCCCCTGGCCCAGGTCATTTTATTCACAAAAGAGCTTTTTACAGAGTGTTCGTAAGAACCAATCAGATTTCTTCTGAGCATTTCAACAAACACCACGTGGGAACAAAATTAAACTACCAAAACCAATTAAGCTCACATATTTCTGGGGTAAACAAAACAGAACTACAAAGGAGTGCATTTGGCAACCCCTGAGGTTATAAACAAACAAAATATATGATAAGAAGGATGGCCAGGAAGACAGCGATCATTATCGCCTTCAGGTGAGATCTGTTTCCTGGCCCTAAGATTAACATATCAGAAAAGCTACATCAAAGAAACTGCCCACTGTCTTTAATGATCCAGGAGGCCTGCCTGTCTTAAGTGTGTATGTGACTTGTGAAGAAAGAGAAATGGACCAGGGATGCAGAGGTGTGGATTGATCAAGAATCATATCAAAATAGTTTAAACCCAGTGAATGCAATGCTTTCATTGCTGACACAGATGGATTACTCTATATTTGTTATAATTCCTCATAGCAATCCCACCTGATCACTACACAGGACTGTGGGCTGGATGGGCCATTGGCCTGATCCAGCAGCCCTTTGTGGTACTGGCTGGGCTCTTGGGTTCTACCGTGCTCTGTGGAGGGAGGCAGGTGGGTTGCAGAGGGGGGTCAGCTTCCTCCAGGCTTCCTCCACCTGATGCTGAGGAGCAGCAACTTCTCTCATGAACCTGCTGGGAGCAAACCCATGTCTCGCTGCCTCCTGTGGAGCTGGGTGGGGTTTTGGGATGCACCGCACATCCTTCCCAATCCTAGACTGGCTTCCCAACTTCAGCAGCATCCTTATTTATTAAATTTGTATAACACCCTTCATCCAAATATCATAGGACAGTTTGAAACATAAAAATTAAAAAAATGGGCGCATAAAATGCTTAACGAAGAAATCGCCAAACCTCTCTCCCATGATCTCATTGAGAAGGCCACGAGGAGAAGGAGCTGCCACCCAGCCCCAAAGTCCTGGCCTGGGCACAGCTGGGCTTGCCTCCCCGTGGCTTCCCCTTCCATGAGGGAGCCTGTCATGGGGTCAGCTGGTTGCACCCCCTCAGAAGTGTGTGCCCAGGGCCAAGGTGCCCCTGGCCCCCCACGCTACGCTTCTGCCATGGAGGGGCTGCTTCTTCGTAGCCCCTTTTCTCCTTGCCCCACACACCTTCCTGGGCATCTAAGTCTGTTGGCACTGGCTGGCCTCCTCGCTGGCTGCAGGTGGGGAGCCCAGAAGGAGAAGGAGCCCTCCGTCAAGAGGCAGGTTGAGGGGAGCACGACCAGTTCGCTTGCACTGCAGGGGACGCTGCAACAATGATGAACAACAGAATGCAAGAGGTGAGGGGTGTGTGCGTGCCAAATTCTGGTGTCGCACAGAGTGCCGCAGAAATCTTAAAGCCCAGCGTCCGCCACTGCCTCCGTCCCAGGAGTTCTTCTTTGCTGTGTCTCCCAGTCTGCAGGGGGGAAGGATCGGGGCCCAAAGACCCAGGGGAAGTATGAGGGAGTGCAGATACTGGGTGGTCATTTGTCATGGATACTTTAGTTGTTATTCCCGCCTTGCAGGGGGTTGGACTAGATGATCCTCAGGAGTCCCTTCCAACTCTACCATCTCTGCAGGGAAGCAGAGCCCAACACAAAAATATTGTCGGTTGCCTTTATCACTTCTGAGGTGCCGACGTTAAGGCAGGAGCTGCAACTGAGCATTTATTTGCTCTTGGGACACCAGGATATGTTGCTTCAGGGTGGAGAGCATCTCACTATCTGGTGCATTTTTGCGTGTGTGTGTGTGTGTGTGTGTGTTCCAGCTTCCTCAGGGCACTCCTAAAGACCTGGCTTGGCTGACAGACAAAGTGGCAGACCCTTTGGTGGCTATGAAGTCCTGGAAATCCAGGACCAATCTGGTCAGGTCCTTGACAAAACATGTCAAGCCAGGTGTGCAAGGAAATGTAGCTGTGTCTTCCCACCCTTAGGACAGGTGGGGTGGGGAACCTCCTAGCCATGCCAACAGGTGTGGGGCAGCTAAGGGCAGGGCTTCAAAGGAACAACCGGGGGGCTTAGACTGGGCTCCCAGTAGTTCCGCTGCTGGAGCAAGGTCTGCTCTCTCTCATTTATTTCATAAAACCCACACACTGTTCGATGGTCAAAACCGCCCCTCAAAGCAGTTTGAAAAAAGATAAGAAAACCAAAAGGAAAAATGCATTAGTTTAAAACGGTCGAAATGCTTAAATCCACATAAACTTTCAAAGCATCCGGGCAGGCTTGTTGAAACAAGCATATTTATAGCAGGTGCTGGGAAGAGTACGGGGAAGGTACCTGCTTGATGTCAAGAGGCAGGGAGTTCCAAAGGGCAGGCGCTGCCACAATAAATGATGTTCTGACAAATGCGGGAAATGGGCATTATGTGGCAGCTGGAGCCATGCCTGTTCTGCCAATCAAAGCAGTTGAGTGGGTGCATGGGGGGGTAAGGCAACGTCTTAGGTAAGGTGGTCCCAAGTTATGAAGGGCTTTCTATACTAATAGGAATACCTTGATCTCAGCCTGGTAGTTGATGCAGATATTTGAGCCCAGGGCTCAGTCCTGTCCACACCAACTGCAGCTCCAGACTGTGCCACTCAAATTGCAGTGTGGACTAAAGTTGCCTAATCCTCCTTGATTAGGGGCCTTGATGGTTAAGCATCGTTAGTTTCATTCTAGATCTATCCTTGCACCAGGCGGCCAGCAGCACCAGAACTGAGCACATGAGAAGTATAGGGCAAAGTCCTGCTCTGTCTTGGTGAGACTGCAGGCTTGTCTTTCTATTCTGCCACTGCTGAACCTCCCCCCCCCCGCCCCCATGGGGCTCTTGGGAGAAAGGGATTGGGTGAGGCAGTGGCGTAGAGTGGGTTGTCAGCACCCGGGGCAAGGCAAGTAATTTGCGCCCCCTAGAGTGAGTGAGCCAGGTAGGGGCAGAGAGCTGCGCATACGAGCCCCCCCCCCAAGTCCGGTGCGGCCGGCCCCCCCTGCACTCCCCACGCTACGCCACTGGGGTGAGGTGATTCCCACACAGCCTCCCTGTTTTTTGCACTCTCGGGTTTTCTCTAGCTTTCCCCCCCAATAAATTTTATTTTATTTTTTCAAGTTTTTTTATTTTTATTTTTTCAAGTTTTATTTTTTAATTTTGAAAAATATATATTAAAAAGAACAATATCGAATATCTTTTTTATCAAAGATATCAAAGATAAGAAAAACTAAATAAAAACGCAAACCCAAAAGGGGGTGGGAGAAAAAAAGGAGAAGAATCAGAATTTTTGTCCTTTTCCCTCAAGTTTTCTCTTTTGAGAGGACTCCTCCCTCTGCAAACTTCAGGTCTCCCCAAGGGCGTCGGGGGCTCCCCTTTGTTTCTTCCTCGTCCTCTCTTGTGACTACAACCCGAACCTTAGGAACCAGGTTAATTATTAGGAGGGAGCGATAAGGGCGGATGTTCTGAGCGACTGAAAGGCGTCTTGCAAAAGGGTCCTGGGAGCGAAATAGGCGAATGATCTGCGCTCAGCAGCGCCCCGTCATGTGCCGCAGGCAGGCAGACAGGCGGTGCAAACCTCGCGGGTTCGCCGGGGAGGATGGAGGAAGCGGCTGCCCGAGTCTCTTCCTTCAGGCGCCCAGCAAGAGCCACGTGGAAAGACGCCAGGACCTGGCTGTAGTTTTCCATTCCTTTTCTCCTGAAGCCAGCGAGATCCGTTTGCTCTCCCTCCCTCTCCAGAACAAGGCGCCCTTTGCTCAAGCGCCCCCACCCACCCCAGCCGCAAGCAGGCCTCCCGCGGTGACAGGTGATTCAGGGCGGGTGAAAGACCGTCCTCCTCTGTGCAGAACTGCGGAACTCTCTCCCACAGGAGGCAATGATGGTCACCAACCTTGGGGGCTTGAAAAGAGGGTTGGACGAATTCATGAAGCAGGAGAGGGCTGTCCTTAGGAAGGCTGTGGACGCCCCTTCACTGGAGGTTCTCCAGCAGAGGTTGGACGGCCACCTGTCGGCGTTGCTTGAGCTGAGATCCCTGCATTGCAGGGGGTTGGGCTAGATGACCCTCGGGTCCCTTCCAGCTCTACGATTCTATGATTCTGTCCAGCAGTGCTTTTGAAGACCATGTGCTGGAAAGTTGCTCTGGCGCTGGACTCCTGCTTGTTGGTTTCCCATAATGGGCATCTGGTTGGCCACTGGGAGAACAGGAGCCCTTGGGCAAGATCCAGCAAACTCTTTATTCTATCATGGAGGAGGGGGCTAGAGGTACCCCAAAGGTCATCCAGCCCAACCCGCTGCAATGCAGGGATCTCAGCTCGAGCATCCCTGACGGGGAGTCCACCGCGTCCCAGGGAGACCTCTCCCTCCTGGCTCTGTCCAGCTCCCACAGTCAGAGGCATCTGCGCTTCTGAATGCCGCTTGCTGGAACACCGCCGGAGCGGAGAGTTTCTCTTGGGCCGGATCCTGCTTGCCGGTTCGCCCCCCTCCGAGGCGCCTGGGTGGCCCTTGTGAGAAGTGGGCGCTGGACCAGAGGGGGCCCCTTGGCCTGGTCCGGCAGCCAGGCTCCTGGGACGCTCTGCTGCGGATGGAGATGGCCTCGGCCGCCCCGTCCGGTGCCAAATCCTCCCCCGGCTTTCGCACCAGCCCCCCGAAGCCCGCGAGGTTCTTGGCAGGCCTGGCGAGGTTGCTGAGCCTCTGCATCTCCCCAGCAACGCGAAAGGCATTATACTGTTCCCATGGAAACTCGGGCAGAAGCATTTGGGAAGGAAGAGGGGAAGGAAGGAAGCTGCCGTGTGGGTCTTGGCAGCCCCGTCGCGGCGGCGGCGGCGGCGGAGCTTCTTTGTCTCCTCCCGGCCCACACGGACGGCAGGGCAGAGGCGCAGCAGCCCCGGCTCCTGGGGAGGCGCCCCTCGGCGCGCCCGGCCGGCAACTCCCGCCGCCTCTCCGCAGCCCCCCAGTCCCGGGCGCCGCTGGCTGCAGGCGGCGGAGCGCACGAGCATTACCGCGCCTGGCCTGCGAGGCAGGGAGGCACCCACGAGCCCCAGAGCGGACCGGACGAGGACCGGGGCAGCCGGGTAAGTGCGAGTGTGTGTGGACGGGGGGGGGACCACCTTCTCCGCAGACTCTCCGCGCCCACGTGCACAAGGCGGCCGGGGGCGCGGCCGCAGAAAGGGCCGGCCGATGCCCTGGGAGGGGCTGCCTCGGGGGAGGGGGAATGGGTCAGCCATGCGGGGAGTGGGGGGGGGCACGGAAGGGCAGCCATTTGCTGGCCCAAAGGGGGGCTTCCGCGGCTGGGCTGCTACTAAGATGTTGCCGCTTCTCTCTCTCGGAGGAGGAGGCGGCGTCTTGGACTCCCCCGCGGCTCATTTGCTTGTGCCCAAGGTAAACTTGCCTGGAGTGAGTGACCCCCCCCCCACACACACAGTGCCTTCACCTGCTGCCTCCTCCCCCCCCCGACACCTCCATCTGCTCGGACGCTGGTGTGTGAGGCTGGCAATCAGGAAGAGGGGGCGGGTATTATGGATGCCGGAGCTCTTGGCGTCCGGACAGGGCGAGGTTGGCGCTGTGCCCCCCCCGCCCCCCTCCCAGCACATTCACAGAGCCTCCTGGGCAGGCTGAGCATCCCCGCCCTCAGTTTGGAGAAGACCTGCCTGCTGCAATGGTCAGCCCCACGCAGGACCCCTGCCTGCTCCAACTTATGGGGGGGGGCAATCTCGTTGCGACAGCGGGGGTGGGGGAAAGGGGCGCCCCTCTCTCCTCCCCATGCACCGTGGTTCCAATCCTGGTCCGCTAATGGCTGTTAAAGAAACACAATCCCACTGAGCGCATCCGTGCCTCTAACGAGTCCTCCACATTGTCTCCAAGCCCCGGGCACTTTCATGGGAGACCTACCTGTTGAAACCGGAGGTGGGCAGGAGCAGCTCAGTTCCCCTTCCCCGTTGTTCCGTGGGCTTTGGAAGTCCAGCGGGGATGGGCAAAGGCAGGGAGATGAAGCCCTCTAGCACTTACTTCCGTGGCCGGATCACCCAGCGCAGTCTCCAAGCAATATCTGCTTCAGAGTCCAGAACCTCACCTGGCACCTGGTGTTTCCTTGCCAGTGGCATCCTTCTCCCATGCTGGCAGCCTGCCATCTGATGCCACCAGAGCTAGTGGAGATGGTCACTGCCCCCCTTGAGAGGCAGGGGCAGGAAAGGGGCCTGGGGGAGGGAGTCTGGAGGCAGTGGCAAGGACAGAGAGGTCTGCTCCAGGCCCTCTGGTAGATGACAGTAAGTTCTGCCAGCAGCCCCCTTCAGCGCCTCCTGTGTGGGCCCCCGGACCCCCTGCTGGCTGAGGCTGCCCTTTCAGGTACACCTGGGAGTCAGGGGCTGCTTTGCCTCCCTGGGGCTCCTCCTCCCCCAACTCTGATTTACTGTGTGTGCATCTCACAACAATATCTGAGCTTGGAGAAGAGCGTGGCTCCGATATGTGCCAAAATGTTGTGCTCCTGAGAACCACTCATTAGGGCTTCTCTGCAGCTTATGAGGTTCCTGCCTTTGGAGACGGGCCAGAGTCTGACCCTGGAGGTCAGGCAGAGGTGCAGTGAGGCCTTTCCGGCTGTCGCCTTTGTTTGGGTCAAGCTGCTGCTGTTCCCCCGCCCCACCCTGGGGAGACTGGACGGTGAACTCACATTAAACCCCTTTTCCCCTCCTTGAGAGGTGAGCTCTTGTCTTGGGGCTCCCAGGCAGCCCAAGGTGATGCAACTGTGCTTGGCCTCTTAGGAATTCAGTAGGACATTTCTTCAGTGCAGAATGAATCCTTCGCAGGAGGCCCAGGGCACAGCCAGGAACCTGAAGCTCTGACCCAGAGAACACATACAGGTCCATGCTTGGCTGGGGGGGCCTCCTCATCCTGTGTTCCCCCACCCCACCCTACACCTCCCGGTGGCCAGAGGCATTAATTATGCTGCCTGTTTTATTTATTGGTTTTCTAAAACTGTTTTTATGCCGCCTTTCTCTCCAGAGAGCACTAAGAATATTTGTAACCAGTGAAATAACCAGTACGTAATAATTAAAACAAACCACACCAGTAAAATATATTATTACAGTGACTAGGATGCTGAAAACTAGCATCATTGGCCTGGGAATGCCTAAGCAAATGTGTTTTTAATGCATGCTGGAAGCAGCTAACAGTTAAAAAGGTAAAGGGGGTAAAGGGACCCCTGACCATTAGGTCCAGTCGTGGCCGACTCTGGGGTTGCGGTGCTCATCTGGCTTTATTGGCCGAGGGAGCTGGCGTACTCTGGGTCATGTGGCCAGCATGACTAAGCCGCTTCTGGCGAAACCAGAGCAGCGCACGGAAACGCCGTTTACTTTCCCACCGGAGCGGTACCTATTTATCTACTTGCCCTTTGACGTGCTTTTGAACTGCTAGGTGGGCAGGAGCAGGGACCGAGCAACGGGAGCTCACCCCATCAAGGGGATTCGAACCACTGACCTTCTGATTGGCAAGTCCTAGGCTCTGTGGTTTTACCCACAGCGCCACCCGCATCCCTAACAGTTAATATCTAACCGTTGGTGCCTGCCTATTCTCCAGGGGGGGGGGTCCTTCCCACAGCATCCTAAGGTGGCGCAGTTAACAGGGCCGCTACTGAAGGTCTCGGCTGGCCACTCCCAACGGCTCCATACAGACGTTGAACTGCACTGAAAGTATGAAAGTATGTCTTTCATCTGCTCAGGCCCCATCCCTGGGTTTGTGCCCATGAGCCACGTTGGGCAAACGGGCAAGAGAGCATCTGGTCAGTCAGACCACAGCATGGGGCTTGGCCACACCCTTGGTATGGAACTGAAATTGACCCCATGGAAACCGGACAAGACGGGGGCAGCGGACGCCTCACTGGGGCTTGGATTAACAATAGTGCTCAGGCAGCAGCTGCTGCTGCTGCAGAGGCCTGGCCTTCAAAATGCCTTGCCAAACGGTCACAACCGACTTGTGGTTTCTCACTCCCCTGACCCACGGAGGCTCCCTGGGGCTCTCTTCTATACAGATTCAAAATATTCCAGAAATGCTGGAGACTGGTAAACAGTAGCTATCTACAGTGGCGTAGCGTGGGGGGTGCAGGGGGGGCCGGCCGCACCGGGCGCAACATCTGGGGTTAGGGCAAATCCACAGGTTAGGGGGCGCAAATCCATGGGTTAGGGGGCGCAAATCCACGGGTTAGGGGGCGCAAATTACTTGCCTTGCCCCGGGTGCTGACAACCCACGCTACGCCACTGGCTATCTAAGCCCCTTAACCCTGAGAGTAACCCTCAGGAGCATTGCTTCAGATCTGGAATAGCTCGGTTGGTAGAGCATGAGACTCTCAACCTCAGAGTTGTGGGTTCGAGTCCTGTGTTGGGCAAAGGATTCCTGCATTGCAGGGGGCTGGACTAGATGAGTCCAGTGGCCCCCTCCAACTCTACAGTTCTTTGATTATATTCTTAGGGAATCGGAAGGAAGCCCAGCCCAGAAGGAAGCGGGGGGAGGGAGGCTGTGGCTTGACCTCCAATCGCCCATTGGAGCGATAAGCTTCTTAGAATAATAGACTTGCAGAGTTGGGAGGGTCCCAGTAACCAACTAGAACAACCTCCCACAATGCAGACGTCCGATTCCTAATCAATGCTTGATGACAGTAATGGAGGGCTTAGAAGAGTGAGGGGTCCCTAGAAGGCACCATCGTAGCAGACTGTCCATTTCACTAAAAAAAAGGGGGAGGGGGGAGAGGAGACCACAGATGCATAAATGATGGAGTTTAGCCCAGGAAGGATGAGAAATAAATGCAGGGAAACTGGTGGATTTGTCCCTTGGCATCTCCCCAAGGCTGGACAAATGGATGTTTCCCAAGAGAGGCAGTTGCCTTCTGAAGTCAGTTTCCACCATGAGTGGCCAGGGGCCCCTCCCCCTCATCCTTCAGCCATCTCCACTCAAAAGGAGGGTGGGGGCCAGGCAGGAAACAAAAACAAAAGTTGACCCCTCTCTTCTTTATCATGATGGCATCTTTCCTCAAGGTGGCCAGAGACTCTCTGGATGTGAGTTCACAGAATTGTAGGGTTGGGAGAGATCCCAAGTAATTAATCCAACCCCATGCAATGCAGAATTTGCAGCTAAAGCATCCATGACAGAAGGCTATTTAACCTGTTTAAAAAACTCCAGTGAAGAGAGTCCACAACCTCCCGAGTCTGTTCTACTGTCAAATGGCTCTTACCATCAGAAAGTTCTTCCTGATGTTGAGTTGGAAACTCCTCCCTTGTTGTCTGAATCCATTGGTTCAGGTCCTGCTCTCTAGAGCAGAAGAAAACAAGCTAGCTCCGTCTTCCATGGGGCAGCACTTAAGATACTTGAAGATGGCTATCATAGCTACAATCAATCTCCTCTAATCCAGGCTAGACATCCCCAGTTCCCTCAAGCATTCCTCATAAGGCTTGGTTTCTAGACCCTTGATCTCTTCTGCACATGTTCCAGCTTCTCAATAGTCTTCTTAAATTGTGGCACCCAGAGCTTTGCACAGTATTCCAGGTGTGGTTCAAGGCAGAATAGAACAGTAATATGACTTTCCTTGATCTGGATACTATATTTCTGTTGGTGTAGTCTAGAATAGCATTACCTTTCTCCCTCCTCCCTCCCTCCCTCCCTCCCTCCCTCTCTCCCTCTCTCTCTCTCTCTCTCTCTCTCTTTCTTTCTTTCTTGGCTGCTGCTGCATCACTCTGTTGACTGACATTAAGCTTGTGGTCCACTAAGACCCCTAGTTCCTTTTCACATGTACTATTGCCAAGGCAGGTGTTCCCCATCTTATATTTGTGCAGCTGGTTCTTTCTGCCTAAGTGTCATTTAACTTAGAACCTTGCATTTGTCCCTAGTGAAATTCATTTTGTTAGTTCTCCAGTCTGCTAAAATCATGTTGGGCCCTGATTCTGTGTTCTGTGGCATTAGCTACCCCTCCCAGCTTGATATCATCTGCAGATTGGAAGAGCACCCCCTCAATTCATTTGTAAAGGCTTTGTCTATCAACAGGCCCAGGACAGAACCCTGTAGCACCCCACTTGTCATTTTTCCCCCAGGT